GGGGCCCCATTCGGCGTAGTATTTCAATGAGATATCACTATAAAGTCGGCATCAGATCCCCACTATCACAAGGAGGCAAGCACACAAAAATACCCTTCTCATAAACACATTCACACATGCACGATTACACAACACACATGGGGACACGTCCTTACATGATCTTAGCTGTAAATAGGACGTTAAATCACAAATCAACTTAAAAACCTCTAATTTTTGTTGACAAGACATTTCTCTAATTTCAATTGAAGGTCCCCATTTGTCCATTATTGTGCATGTATTATTTTGAGACAGATTGCAAAGCAAGATGGCCGCAGGTGGACATCATTGGATTTTCCAGAATAGTATCACTATTTCCACGGATTAAAAAATCTTTTTTTCATATTGCATTGATTGGTTCTATTTCTTTCACATTAACTACTGTACTTGTAAACAACAAATTCGCTGTATATACAGTAGTATGAAGTTTAGATCAAAAGTTACATAAATGTGCATAAACTGTTTACATGGCGCAAGCAAACAAATAATAGAAAGGAAGAGAAAAGAAGATTTTTTTTTGTATATCTTGCTATATTACCATTTAATGACGTGCCTCCATGTGTGTTGTGTATGCGTGCATGTGTGTATATGTGCCGGAGACAGAGTATGATTTGTTGATGTACCGATGTGACTGTCAGTCGGAAATTCATGAGCAATTTGCTGTGTTTCGGCCGTTAATTTAAAAACTGCATTTACTTTTCATTTCGTTAGATATTATTTTCATAATTACATCGGTTGAACATTATAAAATGAACACATTTCAACCGATGCTAATAAAGCATTGGACGCCGTCTACAACTTCACGTCATCTGAGTGGGGAGCATGGTATCTTGTTTTAATACACTAATGAACAGCGCTCTAGGGCACAACACTAACTCTTATGCGTACATGTAACGTGACGTTCGTGTGTTACACAGCGTCCTGATATGTACTTATATATCAAGACTGGTATCAATACCTGTTGACACTCCTGCAGGTCAGGACCCAAAATAGAATACACATGCTGTTACGCATTGCATGCTCGTAAGAAGCGACTAATGAGGGATTCCTCTGCAGAAGCGGGGATTTGCTTTTGTGTCCTCTAGTTGGGGACGAAAAAGAGACAACAATTTATCTGCTGTACTCATTGCATCTTACATTTCTCTCTACTTCTACTAACCTTTTATTTCCTAGCACATTGCTTGACACTAACTCACTTTTAGCTTTGATGTTAAACGTTCGCCCAAGTGTGGAAGGCAATGCGGTCTGACCCGGGCCGGGATATACCAAACCAAATCCTTTAAATCTTTGTTGTTTTTCCCATGCTTTACGTTCAGCATTTCCACAGTTCCACAGATGTTCGATTAAGGACAGATTTGGACTGTACGGTGGCCAGTCGTGTTAATAATGTTAAGTTTGGTCAATGTTAGTCTTGACAACCTCTGGGGACACTCGGCCGGGCATTATCATGCTGGAAAATAAGGTGATGTTGTTGCAGATTTCATCCCTATATCTTACGCCTGTTAAAGCTCTGGCTACATTTTACAATATCTTTATATCATAACCAAGCTACCTCCACACCTTTTCATCTCAAGAACTATAAGTTTGCATTCCGTCCGTCCTTCCGTCCGATAAGGACATATTTGGATGGCAGAGTGCAAGAAAAGGGTCACTATGATCTCACTGTGACATATGTTTTGACCTTTGACCTAACGTTTTGAAAAAGTTTTCCGGGGCATATCTTCTATACTATTTCACCATGAGTAACTAAATTTGTTGTACAATGACATCTTGGGATGACGGAGTGCAGAGTGCAAGAAAAAGGTCACTGTTACCTATCAATTGACCTTTGCCCTGAACTTTTGAAAAGGTTTGCCCGGGGCATATCTTCTATACTGTTTTACATGGAGTAAACAGTTTTTGCGTACAAAAACATCTTTGGATGACACAGTGCAGAGTGCAAGAATTACGTCACTGTGACCTATGACTTGACTTTGGACTTTTACTTTTGAAAATCTTTGTCCGGGGTTTATCTTCTTAACCATTTCACCTGGAGTAACCAGATATAGTGTACAAGGTCATCTTGGGATGGTGGAGTGCAAGAATTAGGTCACTGTGACCTATGCTTCCTGACATAAGTGTACTGTTTGTCAAACATAGAAATCATTACCGGTGGGGACTATGGGTTGCCTTGCAATGCTTTGCCATGTTGAGATATCTTTCGTTAGAAATACAAAATTATAGCAAAATCCATCATATTAACCCATATCACATAACCGTTACCGACCCCCATTCCTGACACTACAACACTGATATGAAGTGTTATGTACTTTAGCCATGATAAACTCACTTTTAAACGTTTTCCTTTGAAAAACAGATATCTGTACATTTTTCTACAATCACCAGAGATAGTGTTCAATTTCTCTGTGTACATGTATATGTTAAATTGAAATTTTAAGTAATCAGAAAAAAAGATGTGTATCGATATAATGAAAAAAATCAGTGAAATTATATTTTTTATGTTTTCAATTTTATATCATGAAGGAACCCATTATATTATAAACAATTATTTAAATATGTACTTCAGTATTTTAAAGTATCTGTAGTGCATCGGAACTCACATCGGTTTTGCACTAGAGTTAACATTGCAGTGAACTGGAGAACACTAAGTTAAGTTTGCTCCCAACTGTATTTACCTAAATACTAAGGCTAAAGGTTCCAAGACGTCGCGAGAAAATGCCATGACATAATGTTTACCTATATATGAGGTCTGATTTCAATACTTGAAAAGGTGGTAGTGATATGCCTGGGAGCTAGATGGGACAGACGGAGTAGACAATGTTTCACATTTTAGAGATCATTTACGTCCATATAATAGACCATATTTGGCACGGTTTCAAACTTCCTGATTTGATGATGACACATTTGATTGTCCGTGCTGCTAATGCACCAAGGCAGGTTTTGAAATATATACACTTTGTATTACTGACAGAATACGTAAACCGGAGTTAGACGTGTATTGTAACATGTGGTTATATTTTATTTTTACTGAATCGCATCTTCCTTGGACAGGTCTTCGCTACGTTAGACTCCGAAAAACCTAATAATGACAAAGTTAAAATTACAGAAAACGTCAAATAGCCCTTACAATTGTTTGTTGTTTAAAATAGCTTAACATGACGATTATATAAGTTGAGGGTAGAAGTGAATATGTTTAGTTGAAAGGATTTAAGGTCATGTGATATTTTTTCAGTTCATACATTCATTTGAGATGAGAGTAACAAGCTGAGGTAACCGCAACGTGTTAAAATTACAGTCCAACGAATATAAAAAAAATTGTGAGACACCGTTCAAGGCCACTTTCAACATGTGTGGTATCTTTATTTGTTTAGTTTTGTTAATGAGCATATGTCCTTCGTCCGTTTGTCCAGCGACAATGATTTACTTTAATCAACTTCTGATGAATCTGATGAATTGTCAAATGGACTGGAGTGTTGATATTTGGCTAGTCACATGCTTGGTTAAAAAATACCAGCCTTGTTCAAATCAATTACCTGTACCCATACTCAAGTTGTTCGTGTTTGTCACCTTGTGTTAGCGCGGAACTGATGCCGACCCTATAGTGCTACCTCACTGAAACATACTGCCGAAGACACACAGCAGGACACCCCACCGGCCACATTATACTGACAACGGACGAACCAGTTGTCCCACTCCTAAATTAAGCAGGAGTAGAAACTACCATTTTTACAGACTCGGGTATGTCTCGGCCAGGAGACAGAACCAAAAGTCTTCCTGACAGGTTGGAACGCTCAACTAAAGGCCAAACGTGAGGCATTGTCAAGGGTTACATTAGGAAGAATAAAGCTATTTAGAAAGAAGAGAAAAGATAAGATCCCAATATTAGTCGCCTCTTACGATCATGCAATGAAGGGAATACAGGGAATAACGTCCTCGCAACAGTCAGGGTCATATAAGGACGGGTGCCTAAGAGACACCACCTGGAATAGAAAGTAGATAGAAACAAAAAAGCAGGAAAGATAGGAAAGGAATTGTTTTGACAGAAATAAATTTCAGAAACACAAAGAATAGAAAGAATTTGAATTTTGTAGCCATATTTTAAACTTTGCCACACTATCGCTTGCTCATTCTGTGAAATGAATATTACTATAATTAGGGCATTGTGTGTATTTAACTCTATCCTGATAATACACTTTTGCAAAACATAATAATTTATCACACCCTTGTTTTAGTCATCTGTTATGCCGTTTGGTTGAGGTAGAGTCCATTGTAATGCAATATATCGTTATATCAGATTGTTGCTGTGTGAAACACATGACATTGTACAACGTAGCCTGAATACTGGCTTTACCACTACACACTACAGTAAAATTAGCCAGGTACATGTACATTGTATGCATTAAATAGTAATGATACACCCGTTGTGTCAGTATCATCAAAGCCACTACCTAGTGTGTATGTCTGCTATCGAGCTTGTCTATTATGCACAAAATACAAATGCTGCGTTTGAGGGGGTTCCATGCGGGGTTCTTCCCTCCCGGTCTAAATTCCTATTATGTTGCACAGACCAAGTCTTGTGTAGTGATATTGTTATGAAACGACGACGGCCTCTCAATTCAGTAGCAAAAACTCCATCGTTGTTACATAACAAGGGGTGTGAGGAGAGTTGACTAGTTGGGATGTCACATCTATTTGGGAAAACGAAAACAGCTTTTTAATATATTTATGAACCAATGTTTGATAAAATGTAAATGGCGGAATTAGACAATAAGTAAAAATGCAAAACAGAACATATATACATCTTTAGAATATAATGATCGACAAATATAGACCCTTTGGTACATGTTAGTTGCGCCTTGTTACCTTAAACATGCATTATGTCGTTATTATATTGACACGTATAATGACTGGTATTTTCCGTAATGATATAGCTTCCGGGTCTATCTATCTATGGAGAACACTGGACTAAGACGAGTCTAATGCTATCTAAGGCTAACAGATGAAATGTTAAACGTTTGATCCATCGTGTTACTTATATTTAGGGGAAATGAAATAAAAGGTAGGTACAACTTGTTTTTTGTATATGTTTACCCGGTCTTTCCTACAATTAAGATAATGTTGACGTTTCGGGTAATGACATTCTATTGCCTTACTTTTTCACATTAGCTTATCTAATGGTTAAGCGAATGAATCAAATAACATTAGTATAAACTGTTGACTGTAAACAAATGAAACTAAAAGGTAGGGTCACCGCCTACGGAGATTTAACCTAAGCGTCGGCTTCCGCATGGAATGACAAAACAAGATTAATACAAAAAGTTACGGTATAGGAAGCTTAAATCAGGTACAGTTAGTTTCAGAGGACAAATAGGACCTCATTGACTTATACTTGTGTTAAAGCTGCGGTAATGCAAATCCTTTAAGAGCATTTAAATGACACAATTACTTTAAAATCATGTTATCATCGTGTGCAGCATATTTCAACTGTAATTTTGATACTGAATATTAAGATAATAATAATAATATCTTTTATTTAGACAGGGTTACATATTTAGATGTACATCTAATTTACAATATGGCCCTGTNAGGCAGAAAATAAGTGAAATTTCATTGCGAATAAGAACTATTCTATACTCCCAGATAATTTACATAGTAATAAAACGAGACTATTTTTCATACTTGCTTAATCATTTGCTTCCAAAATATCTTTCAACTCAGGATTTTCGAAAATAAATGACAACTCGTATTTGTCATATTACACCTTTGATTTAAAAATCCAAACATAGCGTTTTTCCACTTTTACCTAAACTTGTGTTTCTTCATAACCAAAGGTCTTTTTATTGATATGAGTTTTGTAAACGTTGGTGGCCTGTTCAAGGTCACACATATCAAATGTGCCACAATAGAACTTACTAATTGGGAACAGAGAAATATATCTTTCCTTGCTTTATTTGTTTTGAGTTAAAGATAAAAAATAAATTAATATTCCTTCATATTTTGTTTAATGAATGTGTAAAAGGCAAAAACAAATGACGATGAAGTGTATATTAGTTTATTATTAAGATTATTTTATTATTTTGTATAATGCATAACTTTGTCTATAACCTAATCTCAACCATAAGTAGTTTTCAAGAGGAAAAAAAAAATCTTTGGCATAATAATAATTGTGTGAAATTGGGTATTGATCATGTTTTGCCTGCCAACAAAGTACTAAGCATGTTTTGATATTACATAAAAATGATTCTGTAGACAGAATATATTGATTTATATAAATGGAAAGTTTTTAAAGAAATTTAAAATATAGACTACGATAGAACATGTAACTATGTATAGGTAAGTTGACAATATTGGTTATATTATATTATAATTTTTGTGAAAAGGAACATTTCCAGCTATGTTAAATTTACAAATAAGCCTGCCCACACATAACTTTTGTTTCAGAAGTGCTACGCGATTTATGCTACTGTCTTAACTCTTTTCAATCCTTTATACATTCGATGTTATTACTTTGAGATACACTACTATTTTTTTAGATGATTAATTAACCTTATTACAGCATGGGTAGAAAAATGGAATATCAGCCAGATCTGCAATAAGACAATCACACCAACATATCATGTCTCATGCATCCACTACACACATGGAGGCACGTCCTTAAATGACCCTAGTTGTTAGTAGGACGTTAATCAAAATTAAACGAAACCAAACGTGAGGGGTACGCCTATCCCCCCTTTAACCTGGGGCATCGGTAAAGCAGTTTTATTCTAAATTGGTCAAGGAGATTAAACTTTGTATAAGTAAAGGGAGGGGAGGGGCTCTAATGGAAATATAGTAAAATATTTAAATTCTTGCACCTTGAGTATCGGTCAAGCAATTTGAATCTGAATAGGTCCATCATCTGGACAAAGGGACTCAACACTGGATAAAAGAAGAATGTGGTCCAGCCAAGAGCAAAGGGGCGCAACCCGGTACATTGAAATAAAGTGAAATTTGAAGTCGTAACGCTTGAATGTGGGAAAACAATGTTTCACCTAAAAGTGGTCTGAAGAATCATTGCTCCCTGTGTAAATGAAGGGTTTACACCAACTGAAGGTCGGGGATACACCTGATGTCATCAGCTGCATATATCTAAAAAGCCGACTAATATGGGAATCCCCTCCAGAATTTGGGATTCGCTTATTTGCCCACTATTAGGGGACGCAAAAACGACCAAAGTAATTCCGCTGCACCAAATGCAATTTAACGGATCTTTAAACTTCTTCCTACCTTTAACTACCTTTTATTTCCAACCACCTTTCTTACAACATCGCTAATTTGGTTTTAATGTTGAACGTTCGCCCAGGTGTGCGGATATGTGTGCCAGAGGCAGGGTGTGTTGGTGTATTTTCCTCCTTGTGATGCCGACCTCAAACTCATAGTGCTATCTCTAAAATTCCATGCCAAAGGCACCCTGCGCAGCATTCGTCCAGCTTTATAATACTAACAGCGGGTGAACCGATTGTTGCAAATACCCTCGATGCTGAACGTTAAGAGAATAACAACTACCATTGTTAGGGACTTTATTAGGGAATGGGGACAGAATTCATTGCCTTCCTTATCTGGGCGAACATTCAGCATTAAAGCCCAAAGTGAGATTCTCAACCTGCAGGGACGTTGATTTTATGATTACTCCCAAATTCAAACACGCACAACTTAGAATGACGGGAACCTTCATATCCTGTATGAGAAAGATCCTTCAAGTATTTCCTGAGAAAAAGCAAAAACATTCTATCTCAAAATCCAAGATGGCCGCGTGTCGGCCATTTTGTTTATCCGATCATTCTCAAAAGTAAACATGCACAACTACAGACCAAGGGAAACCAACATGTCGCCCATGCCCCTACATTAGTCGCCTTTAACGATACGCATGCAGTTGGAAGCATGGGGTATATTCTAGATTTCTTCAATGTCCCCTAGATAGAGGTTATTAAGGAAGAAACCAGCAATGGTTTTGTAGGAGGCACATTAGTCGCCTCCTATGATCATGTTGTGGGGGAAACAGCAGATCTATACTCTCTTCGAAAATGCACAGTTTTCAAAACATGTTAACATGTTTATATACTTTTTATTTGCCCATATGATCTCATCCAAAAACTAGCTAACTATCATTCATACAGTAGGCTTATGTTATACACACAAACATAAAAGTGATTCAAAATTTTGCAAAACAATCCTTTTTGGCCCTATTTATAATATTCATGGTATAATGATATTCTTTGTCATAATATACATTTATGATTTGATTTTGTTTTGATATTGTTTAACGTAATATTTACAGCTTAGGTAATTTAGGACGTGCCTCCATGTATGTTGTGGATGCGTGCACGTATGTATCTATGCTGGAGACAGGGTTTGTTGGTGCACTTACCTCCTTGTGAAAGCGCGGATCTTACGTCGACTTTATAGTGCTATCTCACTGAACATACCTTAAAGAATAAACACATTAGAACATGTATCGACATGTTGAAATTTAGAAAGCAGTACATTTACTACAACTTCTTTTAAATATCTTCGATGGTGATGCCCTCGGCATGGTATTTCAGTGAGATTACACAATAAAGTCGACATCAAATCCGCACTATCCCACAAAGGCATCTACAACAACATACCCTTCCTCCAGCATATTACAAAATGCATCGAAACATCAAAATTTATAAAGATGTTCATTTATTACATCGCGTTTTGATTTCCTTCTCTAGTGTTGCCTTCGGGGTGGTATTTGCGTGAGATAGTGCGGAGTTGATGCCGACTTTATTGTGCTAAAATCAGAAGGCAGTAACACCAACATACATGTACCCTGCCTCCAGCACACATACTTGTACGCACATGCACACGTACACAACAAACATGGAGTAACGTCCTTAAATGGCCTTTGCTTTTATATGTCGTTAAACAAAATAAAACCATATCCTTGAAGGTACTTTAAATTTAACCAGCAGATGTTCTGCGAGCCCTAGTTTGCATTGTCGGTCGACTTTGTACTGTTCTCATTAATGGAAAGTTTTTTGCGTAGCTCTGTGCATTACCCATGGTATTCTATATGGTTACTTTGCTTTATATGATAACTCTTGCCTTTATTTCATTGAAAAGACAGTTATTTTTCAGAATTTTTATTTGTGTTAAATTCTAATCTTATTTATGGTTTAGCTATAATATTTATTCATTGGTTATCAAAACCTTTATTGTATTATCAGTAAGTAAACTTTATATTTCTATTTCGATGTTTAAGTAATTTGACAATTAAGCAAATATTTCATAAAATTCAAACTCCGATTGGACTGAAGAAATATCCGAAAGTTTGAAAATAACTGAAATGGCATATGCTTCTTAGATATTTTTTTTAGTGATTTGCTGATTTAATGTTGCCGTAGGTTTGAAAGTGCCTCGGACAAGGACGCAACAGATCGACACAAACGCAATCAACTACATGCAACACGCCACATGCATAATGTACGCACGCTGTGTTTTGTGCGTTGTGCCGTCACACAACTGTACATGTAAAATACCCGGAATTGTATTTTGTTTTTGTTTTCAGGTACATCGGCTTAAAGACGTTGTGGATGACAGATCAGCTCCTCCAATGGCAGGTTCCAACCATACGGTAATAAACATTTGCTATTCTTCCTATGTTATCAAGTGCATTTTATACAGATTGTTGACTGATAACTGTATGTAAAAGGTTATTGTCGAAAGAACAATGTATTCATGTAATGTCGATTTGCAACTTTTGAAGTGAGAATATCTGTCACGAGAATTTTTTATTGCAAATTAATTATATTGTATAATAGATACAATTTAATTAGGCACAGGCAATGCCTATTGCAGTTTTCAGAAGAAAATACACATATTTCATACATTCATATATACATATATAGAGAGAGTATTATAGAGAAGATGTAATATATATATGTTCAAATGAATAGGAGAATACTAGAACCAATTAATACATGTTCATGGGAAATAATAATTAGAATATTATAGATTTCAACAGAGTACTATAGTCTAGTGTTTAGGACAGACACTTCAAAGTCACTGTCACTATCCACAATGCCATCCTACCCAATATTACACCAGAGTTATATTAAGATAATTTGTAGTATAGTGCATATATATATATATATAGTAAACCAGTTAAAATCTTCCACATTTTTCAATATATTCCAGGACACACGAGTGAATAAATTAATTTAATTCGATGCTAAGGTTCATTTCAGCCTTTGTGAAAGTATTAGTATCTAAGATGATCATAAAGTTGCGGCGGCGATTGTAGCGAGATATGCTACTGTTGGATGCCGGCTGCCCAATGATGCGTCAATATTCTCCGCAGAAGCCTATGCTATTTATCTCAGCCTTGAGAAATTAAATCAAATGATATAAGGCAATCAGTTATCCATTTTGATTCACTATCTGTTCTACAGAGCCTTCGCAACAAAAATTTGAACAATATCTCAATTCGAAAAATCTTAACATGATAACATAATATTACCTCAAAATGTCATATTACCTTTTGCTGGGTTCACGGACATTTGGGAATACCTTGGCCAGGTAATGAAAGGGCAGATCGTGCCGCAAAGCAGCACTATTACTACAACCTGAACATTTTAAACTTCATTTTACTGATTTTAAACCGCTAATTACAACATTTATAGGAATCAATGCGTCGATGACAAATTATATTCCATAAAACCTGAAATCGGTGAATGGCATCCTAGCTACAGAGAGAGGCGCCGAGACGAGGTTCGTCCTTGCCCGTCACCGGATGGGTCATTCATGTATTACCCATTGTTATATATCAAAACGTGAAGTTCAGCCTTAATGCATAACGTGTCAGGAACCATTTACAGTAAAGCACTTGTTATTAGATTGAATCGATTTTCAGTTAACTCGAGAAAATTTGTATAATAATATTAAATGTCTTAAATCTATTTTTGAAAACATAACTGTCTCTTCAATTATAGGCTATCTGAAAGCTGTTGGTCTTTTTAATAAAATTTAAGTCACCATAGCCACTTTCAATATTAGCAGTTGTTTTTGTCGACCATTTGTTGGCCCTAATTATCTATCCTGTTTTAATGGGCCGTTGAGCACTGATAATAATAATGATATTACTCATGTTATAATGCGATAATGCATCAAATAAAACTTGTCTTTGATCTATATATATATATATACATCTGGGGCAATTGAGAAAGAAGCGACTGGCGTCTTCAATAATATAACCACAGTAACAATTAGAGTTACCTGTAAGATGATCATTATATAAATCAGAGTTTAACTGCCTGACTTTATTCCGAAGTTGACATAATATTCTATTCAATTTCTTGTACAGTTAGATGGTTGTAATATGAATGTGCTTTCCTTAATTAATTCCAGTATTAACTGGCTCAATGAAGTGAGTTTTGAAACAAATACAGTCTGTCCTATCCCATAGAGACATCATGCTAGGAAAAAAGATATTTTATACAGGTTGGTTCTGCACAAATGAACAATAAAATGTCTTGGATGTCTAAGGAGAGGATTGATATCATTATTAAAATATGGTAAACACGATCATAAAGATGGTCAGGACAGTCATGCTGCAGTATCTTGAAAAATAACAAACATTGTTAATTATCACGTAGTCAATATTAGTTACTTAGATTAATTCATAGTATTATAGGTCTGTCCCGGGATGCAAGTAGTTATACATAACGTCAATATTACATGTATTAACAATACTGTATGTCAATTTTGGATATATATCACATATTTAGTATTAAACTTGTGCATGTACGTACATAGAGAATAATACATGCCTTTCCATATCCCACCCAGTATCAACCCGAGACTGCAATATCAGCCCGAGGGCTGATATTTGTCGAGGGTTGATACTGGGTGTGATATGGAAAAAAGGCGTGTTTTATTCTGTTTATTACAAACTTACTAATAAAAACTACTATCTTTTGATTTATTTTCATTTTTGAAATATTGAAAAACTATTTTTTTTCCAAATGGGGTGTGATATGGGTTTTGCGAGCTGATATGGGTTTTGGGGTGTGATACGGCGGGGGCTGATACGGGTTTTGGGGTGTGATACGGCGAAGGCTGATATAGGTTAGAGCAATTGTGTCGTATCGCATATACAAAAAAAACAGTATTTATTAGTAAGTATGTAATAAATAGGCAAAACCACACATATGTGTGGTTTTGCTTTTATCACATGACTTAACCCTATTGTAGCCTTGGTAGTTAGGAATTTTATCTCATATGACTAAATGCACATTTTATATTTTTCCTCTTTTTGTCGTTTTCCATCGGCACACAGGTCGACACAATGCCAGGATTTTTTTTATAAGAAACTTGTGTTTTATTAAAAAAAAATGGCATTCTCTTGGTGTTTTTTTTATGATAATGTATTTCTTTTATTTTATTTAATACATTCTTTGTATAATTAATGTTTTATTTTGATAATTCTGAGATATAGAAAACAAATTCTTAAAAAAGAAATCATTGCATGGCTTTAAAAAAGGCATTGCATGGTTCACAGGACCTGTGAATGACAAGAGACTTTTTGAGACTGAACTGTACCTTTGGATGTACAACATTTTAAATATTAATGGTTAAATACAAAGTAACAAAGAATAATTCAAATGCAGCACATTCAATGGCATAAAGTTACGTGTATTCATGCAAGTTTTAATGTCGGTCATTACAAATTCTTCCAATGTCTTGCAACGTCACAGCACGCTCTGAGTCTGAGTGACGTCACGCGCCAAGGTCAGAAAACGCAAGAAATCTAGATAAAATCTTCATCATCTAAGTCAACAATTGGCAGTATTCGTCGGTATTTCGATGGAGGTGATGAATGTGATGTTGTACGCGACTGTGACGATATTTGGAAGTTTATGTTGAATGTTCCACCTGTGATAGTTGCTCCGGAAAACATACCAGTGGCTAGATTTTTAACGTCTTTATCGCCAATTGGCCTTGACCGGGACACAGGCATGGCAGGGGCGACATTTTCATTTTGAATTTGAAACTGTTCACTCTGTCGAGGTCGAGACACAGTCGCACGTGGGACAAGACTAGACGTTGTGGTTGGTGTCGTTTGAACATTTTGTAATAATTCACACATTTCCTGTTGTTGGGCCATAGATGCTACCGCGTAATTGTTGACACTGTTGACAATTCTGTGGCCAGACAGTTGCATTATTGTTGTTGGAGCAACGCCAGAATGTAGAAGAGTTGTGCACAGGGTTTTGCGCAAGGACTGATTTGTTTTTTTCCCAACAAAACCAGCGTTGCGCGCCATCGACTTCAACATCACTGCAAGTTTATTCCGTCCGACCGGTTGGTTTTTAAACCACTTTTTTCCTTTCGAATTTTGATTGACGGCGAGGTAAAATGGAGATTCATCACCGTTCATCTATTGTGGCCTGTGTTTTGAATACAACGTGTATGCCTAAATCAGACACCCGGAAGGATTTTCTGGATTTTCGAATAGCTTGGTATTTAAATGATCTGTGGTGAGTAGAATTACCCCCTCGTGTTTTGGTCGACCTTTCCTTAAATTCAATGTAGTTTTTTTCCGTTTTCATCTGTTTTTTGTTCCAAATCGCCCCACTTTAACTGTCTGTTTTCGTCGCACCCCCTGAATCCCAAAAGTTTTGTGTTGTTATACCAAACGGTCAGTAAGGCAGTAGGATTATTCATCTCTAATTGGCCAGATTGCCACAAACTCTCCTCCACGTTGGCACTGACAGGCTCTGCTCTATTAGGACGATTACCCAGACCCTTTTGTTTTAATTCCTTTCTCCGTGAATTGAGCACTTGACGGCTGGTTGTGAAAAGATCGGATGTGGTAATGTTGTATGGATAGTTTATTTCCTTCAAATGCCTATCAATTCCCCGATGGAAACTAGTCAACGTGTCAGGCTCATATTGAGATCCGTCATTTTTCTGGGCAGACAGAAGGAACCCACCGATGTAGGTGTCCATTTCAAAGGGCAGAATTTCGTGTAATGGCCGGGTATCAGAGCGGGGGGGTTGTTCAATCCATTCCGTGAATTTCCTGATACACCCCTCGGTTTTTCGCACGGTGTTTATNGTCATGACCTCGGTTGTACGTTCTGTGTCAAAGCTTTCATCACTGTCCATTATTATATTATCCAATAGCAAATCGTGTAGAATCTCGAAATTTACAGGCGAAAATGCCATACTGTTTTCAAGCAGCCGTCATTGGTGTCGGTGAATAGCAGATGACAGATGGAGGCAAATATTGTTTCTTTGGTAATAAAGGCATAAGACATGTTATTATTGTGTTGTTTGTCATTTATTATTAATATAAAAAAAATAATATATATTTTTATTATTTTTAAACAATGTAAACAACGTACAACGTTCAATACAAATACCAGGCTATGTTTAGCGGTGTCAGTAGAGGGAATTCCCCTATAAAGTAGTTCCGGCTACTGTGGTGATACAGGATCTTGTATCGCACATGTGTGATACAAGCAGACAGAAAACACATCTGGCAAAATGATGTATTACTATCGTAAGATTGCATAGGCATGTGATAAATAGGTTTAATTACACAGATAAGGGTTAATATTACATTACATA